CATGATGGATAACCCGACGAATCAGATCGTTGAAGAAGAAAAGCGCATTCGAAATCAATGGTTGCAAATGATAATGGCTGAAGTAACATTCTACCGACAAAAGTCTCGTATCAAATGGTTGCGTGAAGGAGACAAAAACACTAAATTCTTCTTCAACGTCAGCCGATCACGAGCCTCAGGGAACCATATTCATTTCCTAGAAGATTAAGCTGGTCGCAGATTTGAGACAACCACAGACATCAAGCAGCATGCGGTTGATTATTTTTCCAGCCTTATTAGCGGCACGCCAGGCCACAATCTGGTCCCTTCTGTGCAGTTGCTCCGCGAGGTTACGGATGCCAGGATTGAGATGAATGGCTTTGCAAGGCTGCTGGAAATACCTTCAGTTGAGCATATCAAGGGAATCCTACACTCGATGCCAAACAATAAGGCATCGGGGCCGGATGGGTACACTAAAGAATTCTTTGTGTCGGCATGGGAAGTAGTAGGTGGAGACTTAGTGGCTGCGGTGCAGGAGTTCTTCTACACAGGGGAGCTCCTGGGACAACTCAATGCCACTGCCCTCACCCTAGTTCCGAAGAAGCCGGGCGCTATAGGACTTACGGACTTTAGGCCAATAAGTTGTTGTAACGTACTTTACAAAGTAATATCCAGCATACTAGCAAAGAGAATCCAACCACTGATGCCAAAGTTGATCTCTCGAAATCATGCAGCCTTCACACGAGGACGATTAATGCTTGATAACGTGATGTTAGCAACTGAAATAAGCAAGGGATATGCTCGTAGATCATCCGGAAAAGGAGCAGCCATCAAAGTATATATCAAGAAGGCATTTGATACAGTAAATTGGGATTTTATAATCAAAATCCTTCAAGCTGTAAATTTTCCAGCAACATTTGTTCGATGGATCAGGGCTTGCATTACGACCCCTCATTTCTCAGTTGCAATAAATGAGGAACTTGCGGGTTATTTCAAAAGTGGGAGAGGTTTGCGACAAGGAGACCCCCTTTCGCCCTACCTTTTCATACTAGCCATCGACATTCTATCTAGAATGTTAGACAACGCTGCTGCGGTGGGAAGGCTTCAGCCTCATCATAAGTGTTTGCGACCAAGGATAACCCATCTAGCTTTTGCAGACGACATTCTTATCTTCTCAAAAGCGGTCTCGGATTCTCTGCGAGAAATAAAACGTATATTGGAGCATTTCGGTAGCATGTCTGGACTTCGGGTCAACAACAACAAGTCTGAGGTGTTCTTCACCGGAACCACTCCGTCTGAGACCTCTGAGATGACTCTGATTCTTGGATATAGACCTGGGAATCTGCCTGTCCGCTACTTAGGAGTACCACTGAGCCATCGAAGGCCTTGCAAGTTGGATTATTACCCTCTTGTGGAAAGGATAAAGGCTAAACTAGTCTCTTAGACAAACCTGTTTTTGTCGCGTGCGGGTAAATTGTTACTAATCCGTTCGGTGATTTATGGACAGGTACATTTGTGGAGCTCAATTTTTATACTTCCCAAATGTATTCTCAAGGAGATTAATGGGATGTGTGCATCTTTCCTATGGGCATGTAAGGTCGGACGGAAAACAGCCCCTAGAGTTGCTTGGGACCAAATATGTCAGCCCACTGTAGAGGGAGGTCTTGGGCTTCGGAAATTAATTGACATCAACATGGTACAAAGGTTAAAGCTTACTTGGTACATGCTGACTAAAACAGAAACACTTTGGGCAGATTGGTTGCAAGGTAATATATGGAAGCATAAAGGATATTGGGAAGTGACTAGTTCTTCTCAATACTCATGGAACCTGCGAAAGTTGTTGGCACTGCGTGATACGGTTAAAAAATTCATGTGGTATGAGGTGGGTGACGGGAGAATGGCTTCCTTTTGGCATGATTGTTGGCTGGTCTCTAGTCCGCTAATTGATATTGCAGGGCGCTCTGGGCCGAGCTTGCTCCAAATCCCACGACATAGCAAGGTTTGTCATGCAGTCTCGGAGGGGAATTGGACTGTGGGTAGGGTGAGATCACAAGGGCTGCAGGAAATTTTAACGGCCCTAACAACTGCTCCCATCCCGGATGATGCAAAGGGACGGGACAAGCCTCTCTGGAAACACAAAGAAGGAGTGCATAATCCTTGGTTTTCCAACTCTAACACCTGGATATTGCTTCGGCAGCACCACCAAGAGGTAACTTGGCATGATATCGTATGGTTTAAGCATCATGTGCCAAGATTTTCTTTCTTGCTATGGGAGATTATGCTGTTGAGGCTGCCAACCAAATATAGATTAATTCGGTGGGGAATAAATGTCGAGCCAATCTGTATACTTTGTCAGAGGGACCCAGAAACGCATCAACATCTGTTTTTTGAGTGTACTTTTAGCTCCAGGATATGGCATGTGATGGGGAGCTTGATATGGCAATCCCCTCCGTTGAGTGTATTCAACTGCAGGGAATGGATGGTTGATACCAACATCGTTGTGGACCTTAGCAGACCACTTTAGGTCGTCTTATCCTACATATCACAGTCTATGAAATCTGGAAGGAAAGAAACCGAAGAATTTTTAAATCAGAGAGGACGACGGCAGATGTCATTCTTCTGCGGATTGACCGAGTCTTGCGAAACATTCTGATATCCATCACCATGGCACGGAACGGTTGTAATGAATCAACTCTCCAAGATTGGTTTCTCTTGTCGGAAAGTATCCGAACGCATCAACGCTAGAAGCATGCGCACCACATTTGCTCTTTGCATTTTGTAACATGGTTTATCCATAACATGGTTTATCCATGATTTTGTACGGTTTAGGCTGTATGTTGTGTAAGAAACTTTTTCTTTTTCTTTTGATTAATAGATTCACCTTATACCAAAAAAAGTAAAAAGGGGAAACTAGGGTTTTTACAATCAGATTTTCGAAACCAAAAAAGAGGGAGAAGCAGCGAGAGAGAAAGAACACTTGAGAGTGCGAAAATTGCCAGAAATATAGCGAAATAGAGAAAACCCAACTAGTGTCGAAGGAAATGGAGAGGTCGAATCGGAGCATTGCACTTGAATCGATCGAAAAATCAGATCCGCATACGAGAAGGACAGAGGTTTCCTCCTCTGATGTCGATGTGAGTAGGAAAGTTGGTTTTGGCTTAAGTTTGAATTAGTGTATATGAAACTGCGAAATTTTTCCTGAAGAATCTGGCTAGAATGAAGTTGTTTTGTTTGCTTGTTTACTTTTACAAAGTTTTCATGTGCGTTATGCATGTTTAGATCTTGCGTTTCTTTGTTCCGATGGTTGAACTTTCCGTTATGTTAGTAGCAGTTTCAATATTCTGTGGTATGGTTATTTCAATAGGATTGCCTTGATTAATTCTATAGTTGGAGTCCTATTATATTTATTGTAAACAATAGCTGATATGTTTTGTTTTTGCATTTAAATTATACTACTTTACTGTTTTCTTCATGAATGAAGAAGATAGTTTACTTGATGCTGATAAGATGCTATGTGTGTTGATTTACTGATGTCAACAATGGAAAAATGGAAAAGCTTGGTGGATATAGAATTTTTTATGCATAATTTGGGAGTTGTCAGTTATTAATTTTGTGTTTCTGCTGATTTCACGTGTTATGTGCTAATGTAGTAGCATGAGATATTTGGGTTGAGAATCCAAGTTTATGCTCAAACTGAATGAATTAGCCGCATTCAATATTTTCAAATGGGGTAATCGCATAAAAATACCCGAACTTTTACAAAAATCTCAAATAAATACCCAAACTATAAAATTGTCATATAAATACCTTAACTTTTCAAAACTCCCACATAAATACCCAAACTTTTAATTTTTTCCCAAATCAAATAAACGCAACTGCTGACTCAGCAAAAAACTGCTGACTCAGCAAAAAAACTGTTGACTGGGCAAAAAACTGCTAACTCAGCTTCCACAAATATTATTAAATATCCAAATATTCATCTACATATATTTAAATTAATATATACATATAAATTCACATATATATACAAATATATATATATATATATTAAAAATAAAATTATTTATAATTAATAAAACACATATACACATAACTACAATATATATATATCATTACTAATGCATATATATTACAATAAAAATAATTATAATTAAATTTATTATTAAAATAATAATAATGCATAAAAATAATTATAATTAAATATATATATATATAT